TAACTGAAGATTTCTGTTGATATTTTTCACTATATCCCAATAATTATAAGGTAATCTTCTTATTCACTTAATATTTCTGATTTCAGTGAGTGTTACCACTCTAGCAAAAAAAAAAAACAAAAAACGAATGACTGTACCTTTTTTTTAAAAAAAAAAAAAAACTAATTACTGTACCTTTGCAGCCTATCTACTACATTTATATCCGCTCTTTCTTTTATTAAAAATTCTGCCACTTCCACTTTCTTTTTTCTCAGAGCCAGCAAAAGTGGTGTGCGTTGCTCCTGTAACACAGCAAAAACAATTAGTAATTGACAAAATTCAGTATTTCTCAACTGAAATGAAAACCTTATATAAGATCCTGAGAATGTGCATATGATACAGACAGTGAATAAAAGCAGCCCCTTCCTTCTCGCCCTCTGTGCTTTCCCACGTGCTGCTCCTTCCCTTGGAAACACGCCTCCTTTGCCTCACCACGTTCACTCCGGCATCTCCACAGCTCACTTCAGACCTCTACGCTCCCAAGAATCTTTGCTTCTGTCACAGGATCGATCATAGTATATTGTAATGATTTTATTGTTGCTCATCTAAAAAGAGTTCTTGTGGGCAGGGGCAGGATCTATTATCTCTACATTCCCAGACCCTAAGATATAGTAGTAAACATTTGCAGTATTTTTATTGAGCTAATTTGATGGGCAAGAAACGATGCTGAGATCACTTATCTAAAATAGGCCCAGATTTAAATGGAGAATTCTCTACTCTTCCCTAGTCTAAATAGGGAAAGTCAGGTAGGGGTCATAGAAGTAAAAGCTACCTGCAGGCTTAAATCAATAATATTAGTAATAACGGTAATAACTGTACTCAGAGTAGTTTCAGGTATTGATGATGGGAAGCATGTGCTAGGCACTGAATTAAATGCTATACACACACACACATACATATAATCTCACACACAGCAACCCTCGGTGGATATATTTTTATCCTCCTTTTCATATCAGAAAACATATTTGGTGATCAATAATGTTCCCAAGGTCACACACCTAGCAAGTGGGAAGCCAGGAATTGAACCCAGGTTTCTGGGAGTCTAAAGCCTTTGTCTTTTTTTTTTTTTTAGGTTCTGCCGAAGGCACTACAAAGCCCTGGTTATTTTGTTGAGTTACCATAGCAACTCCTGATGCTAGAGCCTGTCTCAGGGTTAGCAATGATCAATTTATAACCATGGAAACTCCAGTATTTCAGCAGGATCCAGAGGGGAGGAGGCAGAGACAGACATTGTCTGCGCTCTTTTCGCCTCTAGAAATAAATTCTGGAAAGCCTCCTCAGTTATCATGTAGCCACTGAAAATGGTGTCTAATGGCAATATTTATAAGCATGGGTTTAGAAACAGGAGATGGAAAATCAGGCAAAAAAGGGCCTGCAATACTCAGAGAGCAATTAGCATTATTAACAACTTGTTGGGAGGCTGCCAAAGAGCTGGGATCTGGGTTCCCTGGAGTCACCTTGGGAGTTCTACATCCTTTTATGCCTCTGGTGACTCATGTCCACACACAAGTCTGGATTTTGCTGTTACTTTTTTTTTTTTTTTTTTTTGAGACAGAGTCTCACTCTTTTGCCCAGGCTAGAGTGAGTGCCGTGGCGTCAGCCTAGCTCACAGCAACCTCAAACTCCTGGGCTCAAGCCATCCTCCTGCCTCAGCCTCCCGAGTAGCTGAGACTACAGGCATGCCCCACCATGCCCGGGTAATTTTTTCTATATGTTTTTAGTTGTCTGATTAATTTCTTTCGAATTTTAGTAGAGGCGGGGTCTCACTCTTGCTCAGGCTGGTCTCGAACTCCTGAGCTCAAACAATCCGCCCGCCTTGGCCTCCCAGAGTGCTGGGATTTCAGGCGTGAGCCACTGCACTCGGCCCTTGCTGTTACTTTTTAAACAGGCTTCTACCACTGGTGAAGTTTGGGGAAGAAGAAAGTGTCCCCTCAAACTTCACTCCCTGCGCAGCCATCAAGGAGAGATCCATGGTGGCACTGCTGCCACAGGCGCTCCTGCTGGTCCAGCCACCTGCACAGCTGGCCGGGAGCAGGCCCGGCAGTGAGCAGGCACACCCGGGGCCCCAGGGCGGTGGCGGCAACATCACCAGCCCTGGTGTGGTGGTGCATTCCCACCCTGCTCAGTGTCCTGGGGTGGCTCTGGGCTCTAGACGGAGACTGGGTGGAGGGGCCTATCTCTTTTCTCTTTATCACCCACCTATGGCTCATCTTCATTCGAGGAAAAATTTATCCAATTAAAGCTGTCTTTCTTCCCTCTGCCCATACCAATTCAAAATAAAAACACCAAAATACACTAGAAATGCAAATGGGAAAAGCTGATGAATCCACAGTGTCTGGTAATAGCAATTCACAGTCACTTAAGGATAACCTAACATCAATATGCTTCAAAGAAAGCAACTTAAACCAATGACTCATTGACTAATACAAAATACAAAATGAATTTCATCTCCTATTTATGTGAAATACAGCATTTTTAAAGGAAAACTATGTAAGAAGCAGAGGTTAGACAAATACTCTGACAGGGTAAAGAAGTTCATATTGAGTCATAAAGCAATCTGAAAGTTAAAGTTCACACTTCATAAAACTAATATGAAACCCCTTTAGCTAATACAATATCGTATGACCACGAAAAGATAATATGATCAAAAACATCAAATTACAAACATCGGTCAATATTATAAAAGAAGATGAATCCTTCGGTATACTGTTCTTTACATTGTCCAGTCCGAATCATTGATTTTTATACCTAACTGAAGATTTCTGTTGATATTTTTCACTATA